AATGTCGGGGACAAAATAGTTCCCTGAGGGACCCCACAAGTGAGGTCCCTTTTACTTTTTATTTATATCCCACCCCTCTGCTAGGCAATTGGCGTGGCGTACAACATTATAAAACTTCAAAACAATTAAATCAAAGGAAACCAAAAGAAAATGGAGGTCTCTAGAACTGCATTTTCTAGACCCCAAACCACCACTATAAAGTCCATAGTCCTCCCTTTTAAAAAATGACTAATCCCCCTCACCTCAAATGCCACACTTTTGTCCTCCCCCAGTACCACCCACAATCCCACAACCCTTGGGGGAAAAAAACTCAAAAAGCACCTGGAATATGACTTATTCCTGGAACCACAAGTGATATGACATTACTTCAGGATGTGCCAGAAGCTCTGATATAGGAGGCTGGAAAATGGCCTCTGCCCCTTCTGCAGTCTCCCGTCTTTATAATAAATAGGGCAACCAGTTTAAAAAGGTGAACCAGCACTCTTTTCAAAAGTCAATTCACCTTGAAGGGGGCAGAAAAGGGACATTTGAAGGGCACAGAAATAGCCTTGTAGGGGATATTGTAACTGCTTTCAATAGCACTTTCTCCTGTTTGAGTTTAGAACACTATTGGGATTGCACAGCATTGGGCATTGCTTGTACTTTTTCATTGTAACATTTGACTCATTGCACTTTACTTTGAGTTATCTGCTAGCAGGATGCTACTTTTTAAAATTACTTTTGGAATTATTTAAAAATATTTGGAATACACACATGTCTCCAAATGACCAAAATTTTCCCCAGATAACTTAATGGCAACATTTTAAGCATAAGGATGAAACACTACTCTTTACACAAACAGTAAAAATGTTATCAGTCAAGATGATATTTTTCATCTCCTCCTGGTATATGGGGGGGGGGGGAATATAGCAAACTGGACCAGGCTGTAGTCATATTTTTCTATACCAGCCCACTTCTTGGTCCTGCCACAACTGAAAACATGTCTCTGATGATGTCAGAGAGAGAGCTTTCTTGGTGACTACTGCCCACTTATGGGCGCACCTTGACCAAGCAGGCTAGATTAACATCTTAGTTGCACTCCTGATAATAAAGACCTTTTTATTCAGACCTGGCTTTGGCCTTTCAGCTGTGTTTCTATCAAGAGTTTGAACTGGTTGGATGCTGTGATTTCCTTTTGCTTTTGCATTTTTAACCTATTTCAAATGTCTTTGTTTTACTTGAACTTTATTATCTTTGAGTGCCATTTTTTAAAGAAAGAAGGCAGAGTATAAATTAAACAAACAAATAAATAATGTGGGAATTCACAATTTCAGTAATAATGGTAAAACCTAGAGTTATGCATTTGTGACCTTTTAATACTTACAACCTCTATGTATTAAACAGTGCAGAGAATAGGTAGGGAGCATAAGAGTCCCCAGTCTGCATTTAACAGGCAGCAGCCACTGCAAGTGACCGGAATTTGTTTTTCTGTCAGTCGGGATGCAAGAGACTGATATTTCCACCCTTTTCCTGTCAGCAACCTCCAATGTGAGGAGGGATTATAACAGTGATCTTGCTTCTGACTATTGCACCAGCGATCACTTGAGAGGTAGGGCAGAAACATCAGCCTGCTGCTTCGCTACTGACAGGAGAACAGACCCATTTTGTTCACAGTGGCTGCTACTTGACAAATCCAGATTGGGGCAATCACACAGGGAGGTGCTACTTAGCTATGTAACTCAGTTACTTAACTAAACAGCTGCTCTACAATCTCAGCCTAAATATTTAATATTTATTGTGTTAACATTGGCTTAGTATCTTGAGAGAAAGTCAGGATATAAATTCAATAAATAAATGGTAAAGTATACAATTTTAAAGAATTGTAACAATGACTAATACAGGCTTTCAGATGATATACTACAAAATATGTGGCATAGACTTTCAGAGACTATGCACTCATTCAGTAGGTTCTATTACAGACACAGTGGCTCAGCAGTTAAGATCCTGACTCTGGTGACTGCAAGATCAGCAGGTCAGCATCTTGAGGCACAGGCACCACATGACAAAGTGAGCACTGTCACTAGTTCCCACTTCTGCCAAGCTAGCAGTTTGAAAGCATGTAAAAGTGCAAGTAGATAAATAGGTAGCACTTTGGTGGGAAGGTAACAGCATTCTGTTCAGTCATGCTGCCCACATGACCATGGAATTGTCTTTGACAACGCTGGCTCCCTCGGCTTAGTAACAGAGATGAGCACTGCCCCCTACAGTCAGACACAACTAGACAATTTTATTTAGGGAAAACTTTTAACTTTACTCTTTTAACTTTAAGATTCAGGCTTATGTGCAATGATCCCTCCCCCCATTGTGCATCTGCACTAGGCCATAATACCACTGCGATTCCAGTTTAATTTGTATGGCTTCATTGTATGGAATGCTGAGATTTGTATTTTGGTGACGTACTTGGAATTACCTCCCAGAATACTCTAGTATACTGCTCTGAGCAAGCTGTACAGCAGAGTTCACTTAGGGGTGTTGCAGACTGGCCATACTTCATCAAAGTGCAAATCCTAGGATTCAATAGGATGGAGCCATGGCAGTTAAAGTGGCATAAAACTGCTGTTAATTGTGCAGAGCAGACAAATCCTTCAATGTGAATCAGGTCTGTTTGAAAGCAATGAGACCTACATTAGTTATGACTGATATGCTCAGTATGAATTACTCCCAGGAAACTGTGTGCAGGATTCTAGCCTCAAATTATTGTGGTTAACAGAAACATTAAGTAGAGCTGAACCCTCTTTGTTTAATATACCCTTGATTCCTTCCAGTTTCAGTTATTATTAATTGTCACTGAATATAGTATAAAGTCACATATAATAAATGTGTCCTGCAGCCCCCACACATCATGTTCAGAGAGGGGGTCCGTCTTCATACTAAATGCTGGGTATATGAAACAAGCAGCTGCTCTTTGTTTGATTCTTTACATATAAACTTCCTGTGCCATCTGGCTTGTAATTATTAGCATGGAAGTTTAGGCCAGAGGACTCCAAAGCTTTTATAGTTGAGGCATCTTCCCTGTGGAACTCAAAGGTAGTCTACATTGCCTCAAACATGCAGCTTCACATCACATTTTCCTAGTGAGATTGGCATAACCAGCCATACGTTTCTCCCACACAAACTCACTTTGGTGTAAGGGGTGGTCCACATCCCCAATCCTTCACATTACTTTTGGTCACAAGCCCCCAGTGCCCTTTGAATTATATCATGATGTTTCCATCTGCAGTCAGCCCTTCATTTCCACAGATTCTTTATCCACAGATTATTAGACCATCCACATTTTGAAAGTATTCCAAAAAGATATACATTTCAAAAAACAAACCTTGATTCTGCTATTTTATATAAGGGACACCATTTCACTATACCATTGTATATAATGGGACTTGATAATCCACAGATTTTGGATCACTGCACTTTTCATTACTAGAGAATTGAGTTGTTTAATTTTAAATGAGTGTTCTGATTTTTTAAGTATAATTTTAGTTTTAACTGACATTCTTTCATTCTTATTTTTATTTTAGATCCTCCTACATTTAATTTTTTATTTTGCATTAATTTTGTTTTCTACAGTAAAACATTGAAAATGCTATAAAATCTAC